GCCGGCGCCTTTGCCCTCAGGTCGCGGGGCGCGGGAGCCGCGAGGGCCGACGGCGCCCGCCGCAAGTTTGCAGAGGAGCCCCCGCGGCGGCTGCCCGCGAGGCGTCTGTGCTGAGCCGCGTCCCCGGGAAGAGTCGCACTGCTGCTCCGGGTCGGTCCGCCCAGGCGCGGGTACGCAGGCACACTCGCAAACACTGGCTGGCACCGCCACAACCCGCCAGCCGGTGTGACAGGAGCCCTGCTACCCGCAGCAAAAACCTACCCTAGGTACGGAGCATGCGCCAAAGCCCTCCCCAGCCCCGGAGGAGTTTCCAGGGGAGGAGTCCGCTGCTCCGCGGGGCTCGGAGGAGGCAGCTGGGGGGTGGGAATCCCTTCAGCCTAGAGCGAGGAGATATTTGGGAGAGAAGCAAAGGCGGAGCAAGGAGAGAGCCCCGAGGAGAGCGTCGCCGACACGGAACCGAGACCTTTACATCCGCAGCTTTCTCCTTCTGAGGATGGACGCAAATCTGGCCGGCCTCTGTGCAGGGATAACACTCGCACACCGCTGGGCAGACTCACCTAGACAGGACTGCACTCGAGCTGGCTGGGGAAACTGGCTCCAGACTGCTTTTAATTCCCACCCAAGACATTCTAACTGTTGCCCAAGTTTTATTCCCGTCCCTCCTTAACTACAAACTTTGTGTGTCCAACTCTACAATTTTATTCAATCGGCATCCATCCGTGAGCCATTAGGCACCTGCTATCAGGGTCTTTGTTGAACGCACACTTCATTTCTTCCAGCACCGTACCCACCAGCCCACAACCATGCAGTACTTCCAATGCAAGAGGAGCTGAGGGGTCACCTCTTAAAATTCATCCTGCTAATACACATTGAGTTCCTAAATGTGCAAGACTCACCCCTTACCCCCCCATGTGGATGATAAGACCTACACTTACTTCTGTTTCATAAGCTAAATAAGCTCTTGTTTATGTGCAGATTTTTTGAACTTTCTTTTTCAAACATCTAAAGTTTGCATTTACCTGAGAATCAAATCTTTGTTTAATAATGGTTTCTGTTTTTCAGGTAATGAATGGATGTACCATCAAATGGCAGTAACTGCTCCTTCACAGTCCCCACTTGCTGGACCCAAGTGGAGAGTGGCAGTGTGTTGAAGAGGGAATCAATGCAATTTGATCCCCTTGCCAAGGTCATCATGTCCCTCCTGGTTACCCTGGCATCTCATGCCTTCAGAGCAGTCAACCTTCCCATCGGGCCTCTTTATGGATCTGTGCGGTACTTGTCTTTTCATGAGACACTGTACTGATCTCTTCCATTTGTCAGACTGTCCCCTTCAAGCCATCAGTTAGGATCCAGATCTCTTTCAGGGATGCTAACTCTTTCCCATAGGAAGTTATTTTTATTGTTCTAGACAGGTGGGATTTTTCTCAACAAAGCTTCCCCACCTCTGCTTCCTTTCCTCTTTTCAACTCTATAAACAACTACAAACAGTGCCCTTCCTGATACTGTATGAGCTTATATTAGTAAAAAAGGTGTTGAGCAAGATGAATCAGCTTCTTTAGAGCTTACTCAATCTATTTATTTTTCTCTCACTTGAAGTTTACAATCCTATTAATGGCATCACACTACTCTCCAAAGCAAGAAATTGTGATAGGATAAAAAAATAAAAAATAAAAATAAAACTCAAAGATCACTTCCTGAATGCATCTGGTTAATGATATTACTTATTTTAAAATATACACCTTTGCTTTACCAAGTAAAAATTCAGTATACTTTTTTATATTGCTTTATTTGAGACGTTTCTCATTTCCTATAAAGTCGCTTGATATCACATGGATAAGTATAACCTTGTTAGCTACCCAAATGTATAATGTGAGTGCTTCGGCAATTTATAGGGTGGAAAGCACTTTCTAGATGTTATCTCATTTGCTCCTCAGAACAACATTCTAAGGAGATAAGAGAAGTATAATATCCCATTTCAGAGATGAGGAGGTGGAACCAAGGACAACCAGGAGAAAGCAGAGCCAGGATGAGCAACCACTAACATCCCTGACATACATTCAAATCACGATTGAAGAAACCCCATGAACATCCGCAAAAGAGTCCATAATTTCCTCTCTCTCCTCTTGAGACCCTTTGAGTCAAGAGGCAGGAAGGGGCAATGGAATTGCAATAGAACAATTAAATTATTTTCCCTCTCGCTCTGGCTTTATAGGCAAAGCTGAGTGATCTCTACATCCTGCAGTATTTTGGCACCTACTCTGTCAGTTTCCAGATAAACAGGGGAAAGACAATAACACTCTTAACATGATTATGTCATTGTTAAAAGACATTATTTAGGAGAATTTCAGAAGACAATATGATGACAAACAAATATCACACATTACTAACAAAATGTATACTTCCATAAATAAGTGCACTTTAACCCTTTTCAAAGTACATTATCCCAGAAATCTGCTTTTGCTTTCAGTAAAATAACTAATGGAGTGCCACCATTTCCTCGAGGTAACCACAAGGAAAGCAATGCATGGAATCAAGCAATTAGACAATTCAAGCATGTACCCATGTATTCCTTTTTTTAAAGATTTATTATTTTTATTAGAGAGAGCGCAGTGGGGAGGGGCAGAGGGAGAGAGAGAATCCCAAACAGATTCCCTACTCTTGATGAGGGGCTCCCTCCCAGGACCCTGAGATCATGACCTCAGCTGAAATCAAGAGTTGGATGCTTAACCGACTGAGCCACCCAGGTGCCCCCCAAGTATGCATTTTTAATGAGAGGTAATATTAGTTGTGTAAACACTGCCTGTCCCAGGTGTGGTCTCCCTATTACAGTTATGGAACTTGGTGTGAACCCAGTCGAAGTACTTGAATCACGCAATAAACAGGTTTCCTTATCTACAAGGGCAGACCTCACATTCAGGTGGAAATGAATAGAAACTTTGTAAAATTGAATGCACTCCAGGTAAAAGGAAAAACATGTTTGCATTCAGCCTGCTACAGTTACTCCATGATGACACCAGCTGGTAACTGTTTCTGGCTAACAGATTGCAGCTACTATGAATCCTACACAAATTATTAAAATAATAAAAATAATGTTTTCAGAGAGCTTTCTTCCACTTCCTTTGCCAGTCTAGCAATGAGCTTAACACTATCTGTGAAACAATTTGTTCACCTAATTTTATGCCTTAATAAGCTTTACTACAATTATTTTCTTGCCTGCTTCCTTCTCCACCGTGACTTTAGTACTCTTCTTCCCTGTTCTTCTCGAATATTCTCAAACCCATTAACAACGCTGCACTCCCCTAGGATTCAAACTTTTGATTAGAAGAGTCCCCATTTAATCAAGTTCAGTTGGGAGATAAAATTGCATCTCAACTTCTCCATTTTCCCTTTGATGCCAGAAACTGCCTTGGAGAATGTTGAGGAAACCCTGGAGAGATTAACAATCCAAACAATCACAGAGAATAGTTTTGGATCCCCTACATTTGCACACAGGAATGTATAGATGCGAGTGCCCTTCAATACACATGAAAAACAAAACAGATTATGTAAGTCATTGGCAGCATGAATCTCCCCTTCAAGAACACAAAGTGCTCCTATACACTGAAATGACTTTTTTTCATTTTTGTAAACAAACCAAAAAAAAAAAAAAAAAGCCCCCAGGGTAAGCAGTTTTGCAAATAAGCAGCAAAGCAGTGGCTTTTTTTTTTTTCCTGAGGAAGTTGAGTAGAAGAGTTTGCACAGACAGGGCAAACTGCAGAAAAAATAGTGTTATATACAGAGTGTATTCCAGTTCACTACATGATTGTAACTTTGGGGCAACCATACCCCTACAGACTGCTTCCCATAAAGTACTATTTATATGAACAATTCATTCTTTGCCTTATTGTATAACACTCTTTATCCACCATAGATAGCTGCCATGAGTGATGGATACACGCTATGCCACTGGTATGTATAATGTATTCATTAACTCAGTATAGCGTAGCAGAGGCAATAACTTTTTCATAGTAGGTATTCAGATATGTCTTCCAATAAGAACTTGTTAAGCATTGGGGCGCCTGGGTGGCTCAGTCGGTTAAGCATCTGCCTTCGGCTCAGTTCATGATCTCAGGCTCCTGGGATCCAGCCCTGCATTGGGCTCCCTACTCAACAGGGAGTCTGCTGCTCCCTCTCCCTCTGTCCCTCTTGTGTGCTCTCTCAAAAAATAAATAAATAAATAAATAAAGTCTTAAAAAAAAAAAAACTTGTTAAGCATTTACCATATATTAAACAAGACCAAAAAGGACCCTGCCTTCATGTGACTTACATCCTAACAGTGGAAAAATAAATAATGAATAAGGACAATAGGATCCATACATTTAATCCAAAAATATTTATGGAGTCACTACTATGTACTAAGTGCTTTTAGGTACTTGGGATACTTTGGTGAACACAAAAGACAATAGTTTTTGCCCTCAAGAGTGTAAATGCCAGCAGGGTGAAATAGTAGGGAAGA